TAAAAAAAAAAAAAAATGCTGCGTAAGCTTTTCTTCCAAAGAATAATGAGCATTGGCCAAACGTAGCGGCTCACGCCTGTAATCCCAAGACTGTTATCTCCCTTTGGTAGGCCAAGGTGCACAGATCACCTGAGGTCAGGAGTTCCAGATCAGCCTGGCCAACATGGTGAAACCGTGTCTCTACTAAAAATATAAAAATCAGCCAGGCATGGAGGTGCACACCTGTAATTCCAGCTGCTTGGGACACTGAGGCAGGAGAATCACTTGAACCCAGAAGGCAGAGGTTGCAGTGAGCCGAGATTATGCCATTGTCCTCCAGCCTGGGTGACAGAGTGAGACTCCGTCAAAAAAGAAACAAAAAAGAAATGAAAATTAGAATCTAATCCACCTCTGAGAGGGAAAAACTCTGTGCCAGGAAGAAACGAAGAAAAACACTGAAGACACTCAAGGAGGGTGTGGTGAGCCAGGATGCTAACACCTGCCTTGCCGACTGCTCCACGGGAAAGGACCTGCCATCTGCCTTCTCACTAATCACCCGGAGGATGCTGTTACCATGATCCCTTCCAGAAAAAGGAGCAGATTTCAGACAACAAGAACTCAAAAGATGCTGATGTGACAATAGAGGGTCAGAGTGAATTTGCTGGTACTTTGTCCAATTGAGGCAAAATCAGGAAGATATGAGAGAGGAGAGATTGTGGTGGTGACTCCCTCTCTCTCTCTCTCTTTTATTTCTTGTTTTCTTTTTTAGAAGAAGTCTCACTGTGTCCCCCAGACTGGAGTGCATTGGCACAATCTCGGCTCACTGCAACCTCCGTCTCCCAGGTTTAAGTGATTCTTTTTCCTCAGCCGCCTCAGTAGCTGTAATTACAGGCATGAGCCACCATGCCCGGCTAATTTTTGTGTTTTTAGTAGAGACGGGGTTTCACCATATTGGCCAGGCTGGTCTCGAAAGGCCTCCCAAAGTGCAGGGATTCCAGGAGTAAGCCACCACGCCCAGCCAAAGGACTGCTTTCTCATTCAGTGAGTTCTGCCTCTGCTTAGGGGGATTTCCCACTGTGGGTTTCATTTCATGAGAAAATATTCTAAGAGCAACCAAAAGGAGATAACTACTATTTAGTATAAAACCCACAACAAATATATGCTAATGTGGTGCAAAGGTTATTGCAGTTTTTGCCATTCTAAGTAATGGCCAACACCACAATAACTTTTGCACCAAGTGAAAGAAAACAAAAATAATGTAACAAGACAAATATACTGACACAACAAATAAAAGAAAACCTCAACTATACACAAGCCATTTCTTTAAAAATCCTCAAAAGTGTCACAATCAAGATCTCTGGGCCAGGGTGAGGTCTTGTGTCCAGATCCTTCCAGATGTTTGAAAAATCTGCAACACAGACTGAGGTGCGAAGGTCCTGGGGGGCACAGAGGTGGAGGGAGGAGGGGCTCCCTGGGGTGAGTGTGCAGGTCTCAGAGGGCTCCTCGAGAGCTGGAGGGTGACCTTGGGCCCCTGGCCTTCCCAGAGTCTGTCCATAGATCTCTGAGGCCTGCGTGCTGCTTTCTGAGAGGGTTGCCTATGCACAGAGAGTGTCTATAAATGTCCTGCAGGAGGCACTGAGCCCAGGCACGCACACGGGCACCTTCAGGGGGCTGGACCCCTGATACTGAAACAGATGCAGAGGGAGGGGGAGGCTCAAGGATCCACAGGCAGAGTCCCATCCCCTGGGCCCTGGGAGGAGCAGGAGGTCTGATAACACAGGACCACAACAGCAAACACAGAGGAAGCCCACACACTTCTCCCTGACCCTGAATCAGAATCCACACAGGAACCTGGATTTGTGTGAGACTCAGCAGACTGCAGAGGGTGAGCAGTAAGCCTTTTCACACTCATGATATATCTCAGCACTAGGCTATATCATCAGAACGTCACTGGGGCCCCAAGATGGGCTGTCCAGGGCTAAGATCTGGGATGAGAAGGAACAAGGAGGCCACGACCCCTGCCCTCACAGTGACCAGCCATGGCTAGGATCCCTCCACCCATGAATGGCAGGTCACAGACTTTGGGACTGATAATTCCAAGCCTATCTCAGAGAAACCAGCAAACTAATGTCTTATGGGTCACAAGGGAGATTTGCAAGGAATACATGGGCTCTGGGGCAGCCCCTCCCTTTGCTGAGCTCATCCTGCACTGGAACTGGCTTCCCTCCCACCTCTGCTGCAACGAGTGTGATGCAGCTGCCCTGGCCAGGGGCTTGAGGCTCCCTCCAGTTAAATGGGATTCTGGGATACACCAACCTCGGCCAACATACACCAGCCCTGTGCACACAACCTCACCCCACATACAGAGAAGGCAGCTGATACTAGGGACTGCAGAATGCCCTAGTTCCATGGGAACTAGGAAGACAAAGAGTGACAATCAAGTCTCAGTGGGGAACAGACTCTCACTTGAAATTCTCCCCACCAAGGACACTGTATAAGTCACCTATGATACATATGATCATATATTATTTTAATTCAATAAGATAAACCTAGGAAAGTAACTTTTTCTCAGACAAAACCAGGTAGCCTGACCTTCAAATGTCCTGGGTCATCCTCATCTGATTTTTTGTTGCTGAAATCTTTCTGGAACTCATCCCTGGCAACTAGGAAGACACAGAGTGATCATCAGCAGATACAGGAGAGGAGCAGGAAGAGAGGCTTCCTAGCCCCGACTGCCTCATCGATGTGAAATAGCCCAACTTGAACAGGGCACATCACCCAGGGCAGGCTGTGTGTCCCTGCACCCTCTCAGGGCTCCTGCCTCCTAATCTGACCTCTTCCTAAGTCCTTCGAAGGTCATTTCCTCCCTAGAATCCACCTGTGCTGGTCCTGTGTGTATCAGTCATGTTAGAATATGTTATGCTTGGTAAAAAGCAACTTTTGTTCAGAGAGAACATTTCATTCTAACCAAAATATATATTCATTAATCTTTTGTTTTAAAGAAATAAAACAAAATTTTGAAAATACTCAATTATTATCTCACTTAAAGATAACCCCTATTTAGCAAGTGCTATCTATCCTTGCACTCAATCTTCTCAATGCAATGTCTATGTGTGTCAGGAGTCCCTTGCGGCTCACACTCACACTGGCTTTGACACTGGGACAGCCCATCATGGGGACAGCAGGTGGGGAAACTGACCCTCTCCAACCCAGCTGTGCAGGAGGTTCCCGAAGGGGAGATGGGTGGGGGGCTAACACCCAAGCTGTTTCTTGAGATTATATTTGGTACTGAGTCTTCGGCGTGTTTACTCTTCAACTAAAGCATCATTATTATTTTATTATTATTAATTATTTTAATTATATTATTATTTATTTTTCTTAATAGAGGGTCTTTGTCACCCAGGTTGGAGTGTAGTGGCACAATCTCTGCTCACTGGCATCCACACCTCGTGGGCTCAAGTGATCCTCCCCACTCAGATTCCCAGGTAGCTGGGATTACAGGTGCACCACCACACCCAGCCAATTTTCAAAATTTATTTTTTTTATTTGTTTGAGATGGAGTTTTGCTCTTGTTCTCCAGGTTGGAGTGCAGTGGCACGATCTTGGCTTACCACAACCTCTGCCTCCTGGGTTCAAGCAATTCTCTTGCCTCAGCTTCCCAAGTAGCCAGGACTACAGGCATGTGCCACCACGCCCAGCTAGTTTTTGTATTTTTAGTAGAGACGGGGTTTCACCATGTTGACCAGGATGGTCTTGATCTCTTGACCTCATGATCCTCCTACCTCAGCCTACCAAAGTGCTGGGATTACAGGTGTGAACCACTGCATCCGACCCTTTTATTTTTATTTTTTGAGACAGAGTTTTGCTCTTGTTGCCCAGGCTGAAGTGAAATGGCATGATCTCAGCTCACCACAACCTCTATCTCCCAGGTTCAACAACTCTCCCATCTCAGCCTCCCAAGTAGTTGGAATTACAGGCATGAGTCACCACCAGCTAATTTTTTGTTTTTTTTTTTTTAGTAGAGACGGGGTTTCTCCAAGTTGGTCAGGGTGGTCTCAAACTCCTGACCTCAGGTGATCTGCCCACCTTGGCCTTCCAAAGTGCTGGGATTACAGGCATGAGACACTGTGCCCAGCAATTTTTTTTTATTTTTAGTAGATATAGGGTTTCACCATGTTGCCTAGGATGATCTCCAGTCCTGGACTCAAGTGATCCACTTGTCTCAGCCTCTCAAAGTGCTAGTATTACAGTCGTGACTCACCCACCTGGCCAACTGGAGCATTTCTAAGGCTTGTGATGATCTTGTCATTAAACACAATAGAGTATGTCCCTGATTATTCTCAGTTTTTTACCATGAGCTGAGAAATGACCCTACCACTGCTCCCAAAGTCCTGTGAGCTCACTGTATGTTTCACATGTATGACCACACCAAAGCCCAGTGTGAAATGTACCTATTCCTGCCCTGGGTTAGGCAACCTTTGAGATCTCCCTACAATGACAACAGTGTTTGGGACCTCTCTAGGCTATCATATTTCCACATGCACACATAGACGCCAGAACTCCCTAGCATAATGAGGAGTATACCAGGGCCGCCTGGTGAATGCACAATAGTAACCCACTGCATCAATCCTCCACCCACTCCTGAGTTCACATTTGCCTCTTCCATTTAGGAGATTGAGAGCCTGGGAAATTTATGTCTGCACCCTTTCTACCTGAGGAGTGAGGATATAAAATTTTACTTTCAGGTACAGCTGTGGTGGAGGATGAATGGGTTAATTTATGTGAAGTGTGCAGTAGTGATACAATGTTTTAGAAAGGTTTTCTGAATTTTCTGGGTAAATGTACACACAATCCCAAAGACATTCCCAATCACTCCACACGGCTGTCTCCTTCATACCTCCCCGCCCTGATGCACACCCCCCTATTCCATCTAAACGGCAATTCTGCCTCCAGGGACTGGAGGGGATGGTCATGGTTCTTTACTGGATGGACTCAGTATTTTTACCCCAAACTGTCCAAACCTCATTTCTGTCAGGAAGCTCAAACCAAAGTAGTTCTCCCGCAAAAGTGGCTCCCCAGGAGGCACGGTTTCCAGTGAGCAGAGATTGCAGAGGTCTTCCAGGTGATCCTCAGTGGGAGCTAGGAGGAAAAAAGCTAGGAATTGCCACCAGTTGCCACACCGAAGATCTTTCCTTAGCAAAGGAGTGCTTCAGAATACACACCTTTTTCCTTGGTGGGTTCCTCTGCCTATATTGAGAGAAAGAAAAACACCGTGAGCTGCAGACCATCCTGCGTTCCGAGTGCACAGGTCTTTTCTTCACTTGGTGACATTAGAAGACCAGATGGGAAACAGTGATCAAGTCAAAGGAACACAAAAGAACAGGATAACGGACTCAAAAAGTTTTCTGGAGGGTGTTTCCTCTCAAGGTCATGTGGCTTGGCAATGAAGTGATTTTGCCCCAAGGAGAGAATTAAGCTGTGGAGTAAACAGCTCTCTGCCTCTCAGTGCATGGCTGATGCTCTCATTTTCTCCTGCTGCCTAAAATCAAGCCTCAGTGGGGAACAGATTCTCACTCAGAATTCCCACCACAAGGACACGGTATAAGTCACCTATGCTACATACAGTTATATCTTTTTTTAATTCAATAAGATAAAGCTAAGAAAGTAACATTTTCTCAGACAAAACCAGGTGGCCTGACCTTCAAATGCCATGGGGCAGCCTCATCTGAGCTCATTGGTGAAGTCTTCCTGGGGATCCTCAGTGGGAACTAGGAGGACTCAGAGTGATTGTCAGCATCACGTTGGTGTTGCTCATCAATAATGCAGGGCCACTGCTTGTGTGGGTGTGGGCGGGGGGCAGCAGGTGAATGGGAGGAGCAGGGAGGAAAGGCTTTCTAGCCCCAGGCTGCCTCATCAATGTGAAAAAGCCCATCTTGAACAGGACACACCACCCAGGGCAGGCTGTGTGTCCTTGCAGCCTCTCAGGGCTCCTGCCTTCCTGATTCCTTCCAAGGTCATTTCCTCCCTTGAATCCACCTGTGGTTCTGCTGCTGTGAATATCATCCCTTTTGGAGGTTTTCTACCTAATAAGAAGCAAATTTTCCTTAAAGAGAAGACTGAATTCTAGCCAAAATATTTTACTTATTCACTAACAATTTGTCTTTAGGACCATAAAATACTCAGTTTTCCTCCCATTTAAAGATAGTCTCTATTTAGCACCTGCTATTTGTCCTTGCACTCTCTTTTCCATACACCGTGTGTGTGTGTCCGTGGAGCCCATTGCTGCTCACACTCACGCTGGCTCAGACACTGGGACAGTCCATCATGGGGGCAGCAGGTGGGACATTGACCCTCTCTAACCCAATGTTAGAGATTCCAGTAGGGAAAATGGGCATCAGGCTAATGCCCAAGTTATTTTTTGAGATCATATTGGGTGCTGTCTCTTGGGTGTGTGTGTTACTAAGCTGGAGCATTTCTTTCTTTCTTTTTTTTTTTGAGATGGAGTCTTGCTCTGCTGCCCAGCCTGGAGTACAGCGGGATGATCTTGGCTCACTGCAACTTCTGCCTCCTGGGTTCAAGCAATTCTCCTGCCTCAGCCTACCAAGTAGTTGGGATTACAAGTGCCAACCACTATGCCCAGCTAACTTTCGTATTTTCAGTAGAGATGAGATTTCACGTTAGGCAGGCTGGTTTTGAACTCCTGACCTCAGGTCATCTGTCCTCCTTGGCCTCCCAAAGTGCTGGGATTAAAGGCTTGAGCCACTGCACCCGGCCAAGCTGGTACATTTCTAAGCCTTGTGGGAATCATGGTTTAGTTTATTTATTTATTTATTTTGGTGACAGGGTCTTACTGTTACCCAGAAGGAATGCAGTGGCACAATCATGGCTCATTGTAACCTCAACTTGCCAAGCTAAAGCAATCCTTCTGTCTCATCCTCCTGAGAAACTGGGACTACGGGAGCACATCACCACACCTGGCTAATTTTTGTATTTTTTGTAGAGTTGTGGTTTCACCATGTTGGCCAGGCTAGTCTTGAACTCCTGGGCTCAAGTGATCCTCCTGCCTCAACTTCCCAAAGTGCTGGGATTACAGGCATGAGCCGCCATGCCTGGCTTATTTTCTTTCTCTCTCTTTCTTTTTTTTCTTTCTTTCTTTCTTTCTTTCTTTTTCTTTCTTCCTTTCTTTCCTTTCTTCCTTCCTTCCTTTCTTCCTTTCTTTCTTTCCTTCTTTCCTCTTTTTCTTTCTTTCTTTTTCTCTTTCTTTCTTTTTTCTTTCTTTCTGTCTTTCTTTTTCTCTTTCTTTCCTTCTTTCTTTCTCTCTTTCTTTCCTTCTTTCTTTCTCTTTCTCTCTTTCTTTTTTTTTTCTTTCTTTCCCTTCCTTCCCTCCTTCCTTCCTTCCTTCCTTCCCTCTTTCCCTCTTTTCCTCCTTCTCCCCTTCTCTCCTTCTCTTTTTCTATTTTGAGACAGTCTCACTGTGTCACCCAGGCTGGAGTGCAGTGGTGCAATCTTGGCTCACTGCAACCTCTGCCTCCCAGGTTCAAGCAATTCTCTGCCTTAGTCTCCCAAGTAGCTGGGGTTACAGGTGTGAACCACCACACCCAACTAATTTTTGTATTTTTAGTAGAGATGGGGTTTCGCCATGGTGGCCAGACTGGTCTCAAGCTCCTGACCTTGTAATCTGCCCGCCTTGGCCTCCCAAAGTCCTGGGATTGCAGGTGTGAGCCTGTAATTTCTTAATAGTACGAGACTCTCCAAATTTCTAAACTGCGAGAAAAATTCTAAGGCTGCACACATCTATACACTAGTGTGTTTCAGGTTGATTCTCATTTTGGTCTCCATGTGTGGACCTTTTCTGGTCACATGTATGCAGTGCTGGACCTGAGCCCAGGCTGTGCTGAGGTCATGAGCTCATCTCCTTGGTCACGGTGCTTACGTCAGACACAGGTACTCAGGGGAGCAGAGAGTCAACCTCGGGTGATCTTGGGAGCAATGCAGAAAGGGAGACTTTGCTCCTGTGATACATGGCCCTGCTGGGTGTTGTTTTGCCCCTGCAGGGTCCAGACCCACCTGTAAGGTAGACAGGGACAGCAGAGGTAGACAGGAGACAGAGACTGATTCCTGATGGTTTCTTTTGCTTAAGCCACTTTGAGTTGGATTTCTGTTACTTATAACCATGAGTCCTGATTTGAGGAAAAAAAGCCACCCATTCTGTTGAAAATGCAATCATCACACAAATGGACATGTTCCACCATCTGCAGTGTGATCTACCCCAAGGCCCAGGTATCCATAGCAATGTGTCCAGACTGGGACATCAGGGAGGAGAGCTGTCAAGTCAGAAGGGAGCAGAACTACCAGCACCAGCAGCAGACAGACGGACTCTGGCAGATGCAATGGCCAGTTCCCAGAAAGGAAGGGGGCTGTGCTGCGCAAGGCCAGTGAGCACACCACCACGATGCCAGGCTTCCATTCTCAAACCAGCCATGCTCTCTCTGGCCTGACTGTTGGCTGACCAAGCAACCCTCTCATTGCCTATCTGTTCCCTAAGGCTCTGGATATGAAGCTAAGGAATAGGAGTGTCCTGATCACTAGGAATGGATGTGCTCAATGAATTAACTAAGAGCTGACTAACATCCCCATGTGGTTAGCAGAAATCAGTGCTGGGTCACTCTGAGGCTTAGCTTGCTGAAAGCTCATTGGTGAACAGCGGATAGGGCTCCCAAACAGCCCACCCTCCTTTTGCCAAAAAGGAGGTAGGTTTGGGGCCTGAGGGATGTGGTGGGTAAACTGGCGTGCCTGCAGTGGCGACGAGGGGAGTGAGGTTCTTACTGGCTGAGGTGCAGGCCCATTTCCCGAAGGGCTTGTTCCTGCTCCTCGCAGATCTTCTGCAGTTCTGCCTTCTCATCCTGAAGCTCCCACAACTCCTAAAATGAACAAACCAACCAGATGCTGCTGGACAGGGGATTACAAATAATTTTTTTTTTGTTTTTTTTTTGAGATGGAGTCATGCATTGTTGCCCAGGCTGGTAGTGCAGTGGTGTGATCTTGGCTCACTGCAGTCTCCGCCTCCTGGGTTCAAGCAATTCTCCTGGCTCAGCCTCCAGAGTAGCTAGGACTACAGGCATGTGCCACCATGCCCAGCTATTTTTTTGTTATTTTTAGTAGAGGCAGGGTTTTCACCATGTTTGCCAGGATGATCTCGATCTCCTGACCTTGTGATCCACCTGCCTCGGCCTCCCAAAGTGCTGGGATTACAGGCATGAGATGCTGCACCTGGCATTTATTTTTTTAAAGATTTAGCAACCAGAGCAACAAGCAGATCAGAACGTTTTTCAAGAGCAAAAGGCAGCTGGGCACAGTGGCTCATAGCCTGTACTCCCAGCACTTTGGGAGGCCGAGGTGGGCAGATCACCTAAGGTCAGGAGTTCGAGGCCAACCTGGACAACAGGGTGAAACCCTGTCTCTACAAAAACAAATTAGCTGACAGTGATGGCGGACACCTGTAATTCCAGCTACTTGGGAGGCTGAGGCAAGAGAATCGCTTGAACCTGGGAGGTGGAGGTTGGAGTGAGCCAAGATCCTGCTACTGCACTTCAGCCTGGGCAACAGAGCAAGACTCCATCTCAAAAACAGAACAGAACAAAACAAAACAAACAAGAAAAGAGCAAAATGCAGTGCTGTATTAATGTCCTTCAAGATTATTTCTTGCCAGCTTACTCTTGACACTGGGCAGCTGGAAGGGAAGCACTCCAGAATGCTGCCGCTGGGACAGAGACATGGGACAGGATAGCTACATTCATCAGCCACATTAAAAATAGTTACCCTCAGAGCTGGGAGTGGCTCAAGGCTGTAATCCCAGCACTTTGGGAGGCTGAGGAGGGTGGATCACGTGAGGTCAGGAGTTCAAGACCAGCCTGGCCAATATGGTGAAACCCAGTTTCTACTAAAAATGCAAAAAAATTAGCTGGGCATGGTGGCATATGCCAGTAATTCCAGCTACTTGCGAGGCTGAGGCAGGAGAATCGCTGGAACCTGGTAGGCAGAGATTATGGTGAGCTGAGATCATGCCACTGCACTCCAGCCTGGGCAACAGTGTGAGATTCCATCTCAAAAAAAATAAAAAAATAAAATAAAGAAGCTACCCTTGGCTGGGAATGGTGGCTCATGCCTGTAATTCTAGCACTGTGGGAGGTCGAGGTGGGTGGATCACCTGAGGTCAGGCATTCCAGACCAGTCTGGCCAACATGGTGAAATTCCTCCTCTACTAAAAATACAAAAATTAGCAGGGCATGGTGGCACATGCCTGTAATCCCAGCTACTTGGGAGGCTGCAGCACAGGAATTGCTTGAATTGGGGAGGTAAAGCTTGCAGTGAGCTGAGATTGTGCCATTGCACTCCAGCCTGGACAACAGAACAAGACTCCATTTCAAAAAAAAAAAAAGTTACCCTCACAGGACAAATGAGGCTTCACCTATTTGAGCTTCTTTTTAAAACTGTTTATAAAACAGTTCAACATCTCAAAAAATCTATAGAGAAACCATACACAAAATTATACGAAGCTTTCATCAGCAGAGACTAGTTTGAAAGGTGGTTTTCTGTTCAACTCTCAAAAAGCTGCCTTTTTGGAAAGCACTTGTCAAGGGTGATGTAGACAGTGACCTGGGCCTCATTTTATGGTCCAACCCCCGGAGGCTGGCTGGACCATGTGAGGAGCCCTGCAGGGAAGCAGCTCCCCAGGGACAATGGCACTGACACCTGGGGTCAGGGCACCTTGAGCCGGGCTGGTAAGGCCAGGACGGAAACTCAGAAAGTAACTAGGGTTTCTGGGACCATGGAGAGCGACGGTGGAGCTTCGGCCTGAGCAGGGGGCGGCTCCCTGCTCACCCTGTGCCGCAGCTTCTGCTTCTGTGCACACACTCATGAGGCATGCTGGGGCTTCACTGGGGATATTACACATTGTTTTGTTCCTGTCGTTGGGGCAGGCTGTAATTGTGTAATTCGAAGCTTTTGACTGAAGCATTTTGAAGCAGAATAAAGGAGGTATGCCCCGGGATGAGGCAGAACTTTCTAAAGGTCCTCTTCTGCCCTCCATTTCCTCCCTTCCACTCTCCAAGCCTAACCTGGCTCTTGTGGAAGCTCTCCCTTCCCCAACAACTCCAGGCACTTTCCACTAGAAATCAAAAGGGCCTTTCCTGACTCACTTGACTCGTGCATTGGTGTCCATTACCGTGTTCAATGCAACAAAATCCAGGTCCAGAAGTCACCCCAGCCCTGAAGGCCCCTCCTGGGAAGGTGCTGAGAGAAGCCCAGTTTGGGCTCAGTTGTGCTGCAGCACTCAGCAGTGCGGGGCCTGAGAAGAGGGCAGCCCATCCCCACAAGGGAGGAGCCCCCCATAGCGCCCTGGGCTGCAGTCAGCTCTGTCCAGGATCACAGAGCCTCCTCCCCTCTGGGAAGACAGCCGATGATTTTACATTAGGGCAAATGTTTCACACTGCCTCGGAGTTTCCTGGGAGGTCCAACTCCACAGCCAGACGGTGAAGGCCTGCTGGACCCTACTTCTCTCGCCCTCTGAAGCCCACAGCATCCAGGCCATGCCTCTAAGTGAGAGGGTGTTCCAGGGGACTGAGGTGATGTTGAGGAAGTGGAGGGCAGTGTCAATCTGCTTCCCAGGGATGACCTGACCTTGGGCAGAGTGGCTGAGGTGAGGACTGGCACGTGGTCGAAGATGTTTACTGGTTCCTCCCAGCTTCCTCTCCTGCAAGCCTACCACCCACTCTCCACGCAGTAGCCAATGACTGTCCGTGAATGAAATGGATCCTGTCCCTCCAGCAGCTTCCCATCGTGCTCAGAATAAAACTCACGTTCCTCCCCAGGCTCACAAGGCCTGTGAAGGGCTCCCTCCTGCCTGCCGCCTGAGGCCTCCCCTTTTCTCCTCACACTCCTGTCTGCTCCTGCAGTCTCTGCCCCAGAGATACTTTGCAGGGCATCACTCACTGGGGCCTTTGCGCACCAACCACTCCCTCCCCAGACCCCTGCACACAGGCGAGCGAGGACACTGTTCTGCTTTATTGTCTTCATGGCACTCACCTTTACCTGAGCTGGCCAGCAGGCTTAGTGGCTTATACTTTGTCTTTGCCTTAAGCTCCTAAAACAGGAACTCCCTGGGCGAGGACCAGCCTCCCTGCACCCTGGAGCTGCCTGACTCCCACACAAAGGGGGCAGGGAGAGGAGCCTGCCAGGAGCACGGTAGGGGCTTCTGGGGCTGCCAGAAGCTCTCCTCTCCCAGGCTGGCCCACCTCACCTTTTGCAATCCTTCCATTGTTGTAGCTCTGTTCTGAGTAGAGAGGAAGTGTCTTTCTCGTGCTGTAATTCGTGCTAAAGAGCTTGTCTTTGCTTTTTTTCTGATTTCAATTCTTTCTCTAGGCTTGAGCTGTTTTCCCAAAATGAACTTGAGTTAGTCCCAGTGGGAGATTTTCATGGAAGATCCACAACCCGATTCACTACCTAGGAAACAGAGAACTCTCTGAATTGCCACTTGAGCATCTAAACCCTTCGGCAAGGCTTCCGTCTTCCGTCTTCCTTCCACAAAAAAAAAACAAACAGAAACCAGGGAGAGAAAAGCCTGCAGGGACGCACTGGTCACTTACGCAGGAGAGAAGAAAGAGAGCTCTAGAACACTTAGGACCACATAAGCGGAACACTTCCCTGATATAGAGATCTGAAGAAAGGAAGTCCAAAATTCGTTCTTTCTTTTTTTGAGACAGGGTGTAGCTCTGTCATCCCAGCTGGAGAGCAGTGGCGCAGCCTCAGCTCACTGTAGCCTCAACCTCCTGGGCTCAAGTGATCCTCCTGCTCTGGCTACCTAAGGTACGGGGATTACAGGCATGAGCCACTGCGCTGGCCACTTCATTCTGCTTTCTTTTTTCTTTTCTTTCTTTTCTTTTTTTTTTGAGATGTGCTCTGTTGCCCAGGCTGGAGTGTGGAGTACAGTGGAATGATCTCGGCTCACTGCAACCTCCGCCTCCTGGGTTCAAGCAATTCTCCTGCTTCAGCCTCCCGAGGAGCTGGGATTATAGTCAGCTACCACCACACCTGGCTAATTTTTTGTATTTTTAGTAGAGACAGGGTTTCACCATGTTGGCCAGGCTGGTGTCAAACTCCTGACCTCATGATTGATCGACCCACCTCGGTCTTCCAAAGTATTGGAATTACAGGTGTGAGCCACTGAGCCCAGCCTCATTCTGCATTCTATATCCTGTGGCCAGGCTGACAATGGAGGACCCTGGAGGGAGGCCAGGAGTGAGCCTCAGTCTGAACCTGACTCCTCCCTTGTACCAGCTGAGTGGCCCGGGGGGCACTGCTGGAACCCCTGGGGTCTTCTTTGTCTTTGTGGGAATAAAGATGACTCTATCTCTTCTCTCGACATCAGGCTTTTAGCTTGGCATTTATACTATCTCAAAAAATCTGTAGGCCGGGCAGTGGCTGATGCCTGTAATCCCAGCAGTTTTGGAGGTCGAGATGGGTGGATCACTTGAGGCCAGAAGATTGTGACCAGCCTGGCCAACATGGCAAAAGCTTGTCGCTACTAAAAACACAAAAATTAGCTGGGTGTGTTAGTTTGCACCTGTAGGCCTAGCTACTCATGAGGCTGAGGCACAATAATTGTTTGAGCCTGGGAGGCAGAGGTTGCAGGCACAGAGACTGCGCCACTGGCACTCCAGCCTGGATGACAGAGTGAGACTGTTAAAAAAATCTATAGATGAACTGTGCATAACATTATATGAAGGTTACATCAGCAAAGGCTAGGTGAAAGGTGGCTTTCTGCTAGACACTGACAAAGTTGTTATTTTGGAAAGGGCTGGTCAAGGATGATAAAGGCTACAACCTGGGACCATGGTCTGAGAGTGGCCAGACCTCCTGGAGGCTAGCTGGACCATGTGAGGAGCCCTGTGAGGAGGGAGCGCCCTAGGAATAACACACTAAACCTGCAGGGGTAAATGTTGAAGCAGGATACTACCTGTCCCCAATTCTTCCCAGTCCGTCCTGAGCCACGCCCCAGCCTAGGCTTGCTGCAAGGCCCCTACCATTGCTCGTGCAGCTGGGAGAGCTGCAGCTGCAGGGCGCCGATCCTCCCGCCGAGCTCCTGCTGCAGCTTGTGGCTCCGCTCCTCCGCCCCCTGCCTTGCCTGCTCCAAGTGCTGCAACTTGGATGCAACGCCAGCAAGGGCACAAATGAAGCAAATCTTGTAAGGAAAGGATGACTTTTGCATACTTTTGCTGGCTGAACTTCTTTTTAAGATTAACACACAGTAAAATTAACTCTGGTGAGTTTTAACATGCGGAGTTTCAGCTCCACCACAATTAGGATACAGAACAGTTCCACCACTCCCCAAACTCCCAAGTGCTGCCCCTCTGGAGTCACACAGTCTCCCACCTCAGCCCCTGGCAACCACTCATTTGTTCTGCAACAATATGGCTTTGGCTTTTTGAGAATGTAATAATAAATGTAATTATACTTTATATAACCTTGAGACTGGATTTTTCTCAGAATAATGTCTGAGATCAATCCAAGTTTCTGTGTATATTAACGGTTCATTCCTTTTGTTTTCTCCCTTTCATTCCTTTCTGCGGCTGAGCTGTATTTCACTGCACAGATGTACCAGTTTGTTTATCCAATCACCTAGCGCAGGACATTGCGACTGCTTCTAGTATTTGGCAGTAGTGAGCAGAGCTGCTATAAACATGTGTACTGGTTTTTGTGTAGACATAAGTTTCATTTCTATTTGGATCATATGGTAAGAGGATGTTCAGCTTTTTGAGAAACTGTTTTCCTAAGTGGTTGCACCATTTTGCATTCCCACCAATAATGTATGAGAGATCCATTTGTTCTCTGTCCTCATCAACATTTGGTATTGCCATTAAAGAAACCGTAGCTGTTCTAACAGATGTGCGGTGGGATTGTGTCGCTCTTTTCTCTTTTTCTTTTTCTTTTTTTTTTTGAGACAGCGTCTTGCTCTGTTGCCCAGTCTGGAGTGCAGTGGCATGATCTCAGCTCACTGCAACCTCTGCCTCCTGGGCTCAAACGATTCTTCTGCCTCAGCCTCCCGAATGCTGGGACTATAGGCTTGTGCCACAACACCTGGCTAATTGTTTTTGTATTTTTAGTAGAGATGGGGCTTCACTATGTTGGTCAGGCTGGATTTGAACTCCTGACCTTGTGATCCACCCACCTTGGCTTTCCAAAGTGCTGGGATTACAGGTGTGAGCCACTGTGCCTGGCCAAGTTTCATTTTCTGGCATATGGAATAGCTAGTTGCTCCAACATCATTTTTTTAGGACAGAGTCTCCCAGACTGGTCTTAGACTCCTGACCTCCAGTGATCCTCCCACCTCAGCCTCCCAAAGTGCTGGAGTTATAGGCATGAGCCACTGTGCCCAGCCCCCAACATCATTTATTGACATGATTTATTGACAGGACTAACCTTTTCCACTGAACTGCCTTGGCAACTTTGTAGAAAGAAGCTGGTCTTATTTGTCTGGGTTTATTTTTAAACTTTATCCTGATCCATTGCTGACCTGGTATTTAAATGTGATAGTGACAAGGGGTTCACAGTACAGTTCTAATGCACCAACAGGAGCATCTGATGCAGTGGCCAAAGGTTGATTAAAAGCTAGTCAACTTTTAATTTTAATTTTTAACTTTTAATTTTACTGCAGCCCCTACTTCTCCAAACCCTAAGCCCCTGGCTGCTGAGGTCTCCTGCTGGGGCTCATGGTGCTTCCGACACCATCCAAGACCAATACAGCCGCTGCCCTCACCTAGACCATTCTGCGGGGAAGAGGTGGGTTTAGCTGCATGAGGACAGAACCCATCCTTCCCAGAAGGGCACAGCCTTGGGGAACATTTCCATCTCTTGTGGGGGAACAGTGCCCAGGACCCTCAGTCCGTCATGTGGCCTCAACCCACTCATGGGCTGGGTTCCAAGGAGCCAGCAGCTCTCCTGGTTTTAAGTGCCATCATTTTCCTGTGCATTCTCAGGAGGCCAGCACCACCCTGGGACCAGGTTGCCTGCATCCTGAGGCCACCAGCAGAGCTCTGGGATATGGGACATCTGCATTCTCTTGGAAAAATGAAGCAGGCTGAGAAGTCAGTTACAGGTGGCCGTGGAATCTGCTCTGGCAGGAATTGGCCCTGACACAGCTCAGGGTGAAGTGAAACCATGGGGATGGGGAAGCATGCCACGTACCATTGCCTTTGTCCGAGCGCTGGGGGTGGCTGTTGACAGCACTGGGGACCCCGTGGGTGGCCCAGCGAGTGTGGGCAATGCCAAAGTGTGTCTCAGACTCCACTTTTAAGTCCATGCTGTCTTGTTCTAAATGAAAGGAAAATCAGTCTGCTGCACTTTAACAATAATCCTTCACTGGGGACTTGGTGAAGGCGACCTGGTGTCATCACACCGAGTCACATCACCTGCACCGACCGCACCTCCCCACCAGGTCCCACCCCGGGAGTCTGGGCAGGCCCATGAACCACCTGTGCTGAGGACTATTTACTACTTCTCTGTAACTCAGCTCACTTCCTCACAGAAATAAACTTACTAAAGGAAAATTATTATATCCTACCACAAACAGAAAAGCAGTATCATTTGCCAGAATAATTAAAATAACTACTGCATGTAACTGTTAACACTTAAAAAAAAATTACCTGACCAGGCATGGTGGCTCACGTCTGTTACTGCAGCACTTTGGGATGCTGAGGCGGGCTGATCAGAAGGTCAGGAGATCGAGACCATCCTGGCTTCCATGGCGAAACCCGTCTCTACTAAAAATACAAAAAATTAGCCTGGCATGGTGGCAAGTGCCTGTAATCCCAGCTACTCAGGAGGCTGAGGCAGAAGAATTGCTTGAATCTGGGAGGCAGAGGTTGCAGTGAGCCAAGATGGCACCACTGCACTCCAGCCTGGGTGACAGAGAGAGACTCTTTCTCAAAAAAATAAAATAAAAAGCCCCCTGATAGAGTTTGATAAATGTTTATTTCTTATGGGCCTCATGCTAATAGCCAACATCTCATTTGCTCCTTATCAGTTCTACAAAGTAGGCCAGGTGGGATTATTGCTCCCAACTGACATTTGAGAAGAACCAAGGTCCTACAGCTAGCGGTTAGTAGGACTGGGAATCAAACCTTGACTTCAAGTTCAGTATTTCCTACAAACTTTTTTACATTTTTTGCATTGAAGGGCTCTTGAAAACCAAGCAGTCTGAATCCTTGCATGGTGCATGATTGCATGTGGTGAAAGGAAAAGATTTCTTTAATGCACACAGTAAACTAATGACAGAGCTAGAACTAGGAGGCTTGTCTTTAGCATCCTCAGTCTAGGACCCCTTCCTTACAAGAGAGGAAGGAGCATAGAGAATGGGGATGGGAAGAGAAAGTGAGGTTTCGGGTCCCCAGTAAAGACCTCATGCTCCTGGGTGGTGGTAGAACCACTGGGAAGCAACAAATCTTTCTCCCTCATTCCCAGACCCTGAGGAGCTTTTTATTCCTACAGAGAACTACTGTGAGGTGGTATAGCTGTGCACTCATCATCCAGCCCTACTTCCCTGCCAAGTGACCAACCCCCTGGCCCAGGTGACAATGCTCTGGGAGTTCCCTGCTGAGGAAGTCCCAGTGGATGAGACAGACATCTCCTTTGATGTGAAGAAGGGATTCACCATCCACAGGCCCCAGGGCCCCTTGGCTGGCTCCCTCTTCTGCTTGGCCAGCCTAGGCGGCATGAGGCAAATCTCTACCAAGTACATGCTGGTCAACATCAATTATGCATGGGTCTAGGGCTCTGGGTGGGCAGGGAAGGGGAGGAAATGGGGAGAGATACCTTTTTCAGGAACCTCCAGTTTCAGCTCTGTGGATTACAGAGCACTAAACAACATCAGCTTTCAATAATACTCCATGTAGTCAACCATGTTCTCCAGCCAGCCGATCAGCCATGGAGCCAGCCAGCACCAGCTCAGCCTTTCTATCCACTGACCTATTCACAATCAAGTCAAACTATTCCATGTATATATCCTCCATCACTCAATCATTCCATCATCCACCCATACTCCATTAATTTGTTACACCCATTCATACATCTACACACCCTCTATCAATTTAACCACCTCAACCATTCACCCTCTATCCATTCTACCCACGCATTCCATTCACCCATCTCTCCATCCCTCTACCTGCCATCAATTCAACAATTTGAACAATCAAGTCGACATGTTTGTCTCTAACTTCTCTATCCTCTTAACCGTGCCAGAGCCATCTTCCTCCCCCAAACCTGCCAACCAACCTTCAACAACATCAGTCCAACTAGGAGAAAACTTGAACGTGACCTGCAGAGTTCTGGGTGAGCCAGGGATTGCTATGGACTTTGGTTGGAGATATCCAGAGCAGAAGGTAAGCAGCAGGTAATGGAGGCTGTGTGTGTGTGGTGGAGAGCGTTGGAGCAGGGAGCTGGGAGGTAGGGATTAGTTAGGACCAAGAGCGATCATGGTGGGATGAAGCTACTGCTTGACTGGGAGTCTGATGAACCTGGATTCTGGTCCCAACTCTGATGCTGCTTCTCTGAGTGACCTGGGGCAAATCACTTCCCTTTTCTGGACCCCAGTTTCCTCATCTGTCAAACAGTAACTTCTCAGATTACTGCGTGAGAATGTATACTTTGTTCCTTTTTTAATTTAACCAAAAATGAGCACTTACCACATGCCAGACACAGGAATAGGTACTAAGGTTATGAGGATGAGTCTAAGAGATGGGTTCTGGTGTTTGCAAGCTTATTGTCTAAGCAGGGAGGAGGAAGTGGAATATGGACAAAAGCAACCACGTAGACAATCCAAATGCTATAATGAGACTAAAAATGGGCAACGTGATAGGGTCTACTTAAGATATAGTTGTTAAGGAGTCATCTCTGAGGTGACATTCAAGCCGATGCCAGACTGGCCTCAGCCACATGAAGATGGGGCCAGAGCAAATGCTCAGGCCCTGTGGCTGGGTGTGTGTGTGTAATAGGAGATGAACCAAATACCTTAGCAACTGTTTCCCTGGCATCTGCTGTGAGCTCAGACCTTCCCAGGTGGTGTCGGAGAGGTGGTGGTTCTTTCTTCTCAAAGAACTTACTCCCATGAAGTTCAAACATCTGGAGAACAGCTGTGCTAAAAGGTATGTTACTAACATAGAGGACCTTAGGAATGTGTAAAAGGACTTCCTGGAAGAGCTGGAATTTGATCAGAGCCCTGTGGAGGGGGAGGAGGACGATCTAGACCCATGGTGGCAGGAGAAAGGATAAGGGCAAACATATCACACCCACATGAGACCCAGAGACTCATCTGTCCCACCACTGCCTCCTGTGGAGAATGCAGGGGAGCGTATGGGCACGGGAACTCAAGCATCGTTCTTGAGACTCCCAGGAGCCATCAGTGACATCTGAGTAGTGAGCTGATCTCGTACGGGTCCTAGGGAAAGAGTGGGGCAGAAATTCCCATGAGGGGCTATCACCCAGCTGGAGACCATTTAAGAAAATTATAGGATGAGGAAACAAGGTGCTCTGCAAGCTGTGGCTTGATAAGATCACCTCTTTCAGTAGCTGTGAAAAGGAGGCCAGTGGAACCCAGTGAGGGTGCCCTGTTCCCTCTGAACTTAAAATGCTCTGGCTCCACTTTGCTCCAGTCATTTGTGTAGCCTGAGCTAGCACATGGCTGCTTCTTGAGCTCATCTCTCTATTTTCTGCAGTGGCTGCAGAGATGTGATAAAGGTGAACTCCACAGAGGCTTTAGGAGGTAGAAAAGGTAAGGGATCATTCTCCCCACTTGTCAGAAGAGGAAACTGAGACCAAGAAGGGGAAAGGAGCACACAGGTGGTTGGGAGACACTGGCTTGGCTTTACCAGGATTTCCCCAATGTTCTTCAGAATGATGGAATACCAGGAAGTTCCTTCCCACCCCACTTCCTCTTACAACCATTACCTGCCTTGGAGATTCAAAACATACATGTACATGTAACAGACTCCGTGATCGGAGTCTCCCCAGTTTCACTTTGCTTTTCTCAATGTTTCCCAAACACTTTAGGTAATGATATTATTCCCCTTCCTCTCCTTCAAGGAGGCAGCACCTATTAGCATCCCCACAGAAGCAGAGGGCCACAAAACCCACATTGGGAAGTGCTGCCCTGGAGTGAGTTACCTCTGGATATTCTTTGAGGAGGGGAGGAAACCCCAGCTTCCCTCTGCAGACTTAAGAAGCTTAAAGTTTTTCACAAAGAGCCTGGCTTTTAAGGTGCTCTAACATCAAGCCGAAGTGTGACCTTGGGCAAGTCACTTCCCCTTTCCTCAGAGGGATAAACAGTACCTCTTACTTGACCCTGGTATGTGAGTCAGAGATGCACCTGATAGTCACTTTTTATCCCTTACCACTGGGCCAGCCACTCTACATCAGTGAGCAGGCCCACGTGGTACACTGGGAGGGCCAGGTACAGCAGGAGGCAGAGAGCACCTTGTATGTGGAGGAGACCTGGGCCAGGGACACTGGTGTCTATACCTGCCAGGCCACCCACCTTAGGGCACTGGTTTGGCCACCACCCATGTCCACGTGACGCGAGGTCCTCGTGTCTCCTCTACCTCTTCCTAGCTCCCTCCCTGGCTGCAGGCATCTGGATACGGAGCAATAGGCAGAATCAGGGTACCTGTGGGAACCTCAGTGTTTCTGACGCCAGTGAGGGGCCCCGCAGTGCAGAAGGCGCCTTCTCATTCATTCTCTGCACTCTCCCATTCCGTCACTCAGTTTTTGCCGCTCACTTGAACCTCAGCCTCACTCCACGCCTTGGCCTATTTTGAAGGCCATCCTTCAATCCAGCCTTCACCTTAGCCCCAGGCCCCACATCCACAGTTGGGCAAAGCAAGGGCCAGTGGGTCTTTGGTACTTGAGAAGGGTGCCCAGAACCAGGAGTGGGCCACCCAGGCCCCAGGATTTATTCTTCAGAGATCCCCGCCACTGGCAGAAGTCCTCAGTAAAGACCCACCTTCCCTCTCCCAGAAAAACACAGAAGCCACGTAAACAAAGTGCTGCATGTTCTTTTTAGTTTCCATACATTGTCTGCCCCAGAGTGAGGAGAAGTTGATCTCCTTCACATTCACCACAGATTGCAGGAGGGAAGCCTGGCTCCCCACAACTTGCTCCTTCTCCAGCCATGCCCCTCTCAATTAAAACAATGCTTTCTAAAGTACATTCTGCAGCCTGACCTGTCTGTGAGGTGAGAGGTATGGGAGAAACAGACGCTTGGTCAAAGAGGTTTGGGAGATGCTGGATTCTTAGCGCCCTTCTTGTAAGTTTGCAACACACATTGGCAAATGAAAGGTTCTGAGAAGTCACGCAGGTCGCTGATCTGTTTAGGTGTCCCCAAATAAGTTGGCAACCAATCATGCCCACTCTTGGACATTAGTCCAATAAACTAATGTATCTCAGCTGTGCTTTGCAAAAAGCTTTTCTCGAGGCTCCCGGGTGACCTGTCTGACCAGGGCTGAAGAATCAGCACAGCGCAACCCTAGCCTCACCTCTTCCCCTGCTTGGCTGGGGAATGGAGAAACACAGTCACCTCTGAACTTCTAAAACTAGAAAAGGAAGGAGACTGTACTCAGGGGAATGCAGAAGGCAGTCTGGATGATGTCACTATAGAATGACTGATGAAAAATGCAGATTGACTGTTCTGACACTGGCTTAGGGCCTGGGCTGAAGGTGGGGACCTTGGGCAAGGCCCTTTGACTCCCGTGATCTGTTTGCCCTGTTCCCAATGAGGAATAGGAACCTGCTTCAAGGATCTTATGAGGACAGGGGAGGGAGGGATATGAAAAGCCTTTGACGCAAATGCTCTATGCAGGAGAGGAGTTATAATTATAGTCTCCAGTAGACCTGAAGCTTCCTGAGAAGAATCTGAAATCCACAGACTACCAGGGCTGAACGACCTGCTGAGGTTGGTTCTCTGGCCACACCTTGTCACCGATGGGGAGGCTGAGGGCCAGGTAGTAAAAGCCTGGGCCTGGGATCAGGGGCAGTAGGAGGAGGAGTTAAGGCAGAAAGCAGGAGTGAAAAAGGAATTAAGCAGGTGAGGGCCAGGGAGAGGAAGATTAAGTCAGGAAGATTACATCACAGACCTGACCTTCCCAGAGCCTGAGGAGAGAAACAGAGCAAAGGATGACAGATGAGATCTAGCTTTGACTCTGGGAGCTGCTCTGTGCCTCAGTTTCCCATATGTTCAGGGATGAGGTTCCAGCTCTGACAGATGAATGGATTCCGATCACCAAGCTGGCCCCTGGGCCCAGGCGGCACCACGACTGAAGGGCTAGGAGGGCTGAGGGGATGCACCTTGCCTGGTGAAGGAGGAGGAGCTCTGGCTACTGCCCCGGGTGGACTCGACTCTGGCCCAGGAACGGTGCCTCAGCTTGGGAGGCTGCCTGGCCCTGTCACCCTCAAGGGCCTTCAGAGACCCCTTCCCTGCCACTCACCTTTCCCACTCTGATTTGCAGGGTTTGTCCACATTCCCCTACTCTGGCCTTCAGACAATCCTAGAATGGGACACTGCAGTGACTAAGAGTCCCCCCACCATGTTAGTGCAGGAGTACAGTGAGACTGTGAGCAGGCCAGTGCTGAGTTAGAACACCTACAGGAAGTTGAGAAGTCAGCCAGTTGGCAGCAGAGCTGACAAGCTGAGACCAGGGGCTGTCTCCTTTTTGTCAAATGGCCATCGTGACGCAGGCTGCCTCTGGGAAAGCCTCGGAACTTCTCAGATTGGGACAGAGGCCGAGGGAAGGAGGAAAGGTCTTCTCTTGCTTATTCCCTGGGCCAACTCAAGGGAAGATGCTTCTCGGCGCCTCCAAAGCCTGACGGGTGATTCTGTGTAACCCAAGACCCCCTGGGCTCACTGGGCACACACCCTGGCTCCCCATCTCGCTCCCCGCCTTGTTCCTTCCTGGAAAAGAACTGAGAGGCTCCTGCTGTCTTCTCCGGAAAACCCTTGGAAGAAGCTGTGACTTCAGGTGTCGTGGTGGGCCTAGGCCCTGCACCCTATGTGGCGACGAAGGAGACCTCAGTGGGTGTGACAGGGGCCAGGGGGAAGGCAGGCGACGCATTGGCCCCGAGGACCCGGTACAACAGCTCCTCCTTCTCCTGCTGGAGCTGTTGTCGCAGCTGTGCCTCCTTCTCCAGGGCCTCACGCGTGAGAATTAGGTCTTCCGAGAGCTGCCTGTAGATGCAGACAGAGCCCAGGGTGAGCAGCTGCCACAGAGACCCACCCATTCCTCCAGGAAGCCTTCCTTAGATGGACCGGCAGCCTGCTGCAGGGCCCCCACCGCCCTCCTGGTTTGCCTGCACACAAGCGGCAATTCAATTGGTTGACCAAGGAGCATGGGCCTCACAGACAGGCAGGCAGTGCTGAGCTGCTCCAAACCTCTGCTCCACTACTTAGCTGTACAATGCTGAACAAGTTATTCATTCTCCTTAAATTTTGCCTCCTCATTTATAAAATGGGAAGAAGAAGAATAGGACCCAGCTCTTAATTTTGAGGATTAGATGAGAAAATAAATACAGTATTTAATAAATTATGTCTGACACATGACACTAGCTGTTATTTACTGAGCTCTAAGAACTGATTCATTCTACTTAGGCCTGGTGCACGATGAATTTCCTGTTTCCTCTTCCCCATATTGGGCTTTCCCACGGAGTCCACTCAGCCAGGACGGAGACAAACAGATACTAATCAAGGCATTGGGACTTTGGTTTCTGGGCAGAGCTGCTCCCTTGGGTTTCCCGACTGTCAGGGAAAGGAGGAGCCGCATTCTTTAAATAGGCCCCGAGCCCATCTGCCAGTCATTCCTCAGGCCCCTCTAAGGCTCTCCCAACCGGAAATTTTGGCAAAAAGGGTGGAGACAGGAGGAAAAGAAGCAGGAAGACAGCTACCTTGACAGGACCACCTGGTTGCGGCTTCGGACATGGAGGTCCTCATTCTCCTGTTGCAGGGTTGTGATTTTTTCCTCCAATATCAGATTTTTCTCTTTCTGTAACAGATCACAATGAGCTCAGAAAGCTGCCAAACTCACACTGCATGATATGTGCTATCAGGTCCCTCTTATCTGTGGTCACTGAAAGCACCAATTCATTCTAAACTAGACGTTACATTTCATGGAGGTATATTTTTTAGCAAAAAATAAAACTAAAAAGCTAACAAAGGGCTGCTGACTTTTTGCTACAGGAGAATGTTAAAAAAAATTACAGTCCTGACCATCTCATATCACCAAGAGTTCATGGAAGAAAGAATACCTTTTGTTCACCAAAAGTCAAAAGGATATGATCTATATAAATAAAATTAAGATTGTTATGTGTTTCCACAAAAATGGTTGAACAAAACCTACAGGGAGTGTCTGAGATGATCTGATTAAAATAAAGCCCCGGGTCATGTCATGTGAACATGTGACCCAAGCCCCCAGGGCTCACTGGGCACCCACCCTGGCATCCCATCTCACTCTCACACGCTTTCCTTCCTGAGAAAAGAACTGATGGTGATATGGGATGATAGTACCTGTAAGATTTTTTTTTTTTAAACGTTTTCCTGTGGCAAAATGAAAAGTCAGCAGCTTTTGGTTAACTCCTTAGTTTTACTTTTTAAATTATAAGTTGTACGGCACACAGGGGCCAGCGAGACTTCTTCTGGAGCAACATAATCTCCGCTTAGATTCAACCCTAGGGTTTCTGAGGCTTCTGTCATCCCGTGACCTCAGTGCTACTGCCCTATATCACCAAAGCTACAGCAACGTCAGTAGCCACGAAAGGCACAGGACTCAGATGATAAGGAGCCACTGCTTGACCCAGCCTGGCCACAGACCGTGCTCAGTGGTCAGCACAGGTGGCAAGTCAAAGCTGGAGTGGACCAGGCTCTGCAAACCATCTCCTCTCTGAAAGCTTTATAAAGGAAATGCCCAGAAAGCAGGACCTGAGGCTGCAACCCCCAGCCACTCCCAGCCACAGACCACTGTTTCCATGAGGATCAGCCGCTTGTCCAGCTCATGAATACGCTCATTCTTCATCTCGATGACAAAGTGTAAGCTCTCCAGCTCCTGCTCCCAGAACTGGTTGGGGCTCCCATAATCCTAGTCAGGGACAGAGTGACCCCATTAGGCCAGTAGGCTACATTCCTCCTCCCCATTCTGCCAGCAACTCATTGTTGGACTTTCACAAGTCACCCACCTTCCTCTCTTAGCCCATGTTAAGTGCTTAATATGCTTTATCTCCATTTTTCCGAATAACACCTTTTGACACATGGTCTAGCCCCTTTACAGATGAGGAGACTGTGGTTCAGACAGGTTGAGTCACTTTTGCTAACTGGTAGGTTTGCTATATACACCTAGTGCTCTCTGAATCCAGAACGTGAGTACTTTGCTACTCCAGATGCTGCTCTCTAAGTCTTAATTCTCCCATCAGAGAAATGGGAACTCTTTTATTTCCAGGCCCTTGTGTAGGTAAGAGTGTCAGGTCGGAGGCTTGTCTTTGAAGAGGAGCTGGTCTTTCCTGTTGCCTGGCCCTGACCTCCCTGGAGATTCGAGGAGGAAAGACCCCCAGGGTGCTGCTACTTACCTGAATATGCTTCTTATAGTTTTGACTCAGAATGGACTCCTCCACCCTCTTCATCTTAGCCTGGAAAGCCTCCAGCTGTGAGGTCAGTCTGGCTATGGTCTCCTGGAGCAAGGAGTGGGACAGAGACAATCAAAGCTTGCCTCATAAATGGTGTAGGTGAACTTCACCACATCCCAGAGGGAGAACAGTTTTGGGTTATTCAATCTGTCTTTGATTTACCCTACACGACAATGCAAGATCAACATTCTTTGACCACTGCTTGAAATGTACAAGCCCTTACAGTGCAGAATTGCACACCAAAAAGAGAAAGAAAGAAAGACAGAAAGAAAGGAAGGAAGGAAGAAAGGAAGGAAGGAAAGAAAGAAAAGAAAAGAAAAAAGAAAAGAAGGGAAGGGAAAATAAAAGAGAAAGAAAAGAAAAGAAGAGGGGAGGAGAGAGGGAGATGGAGAGAGAGAGAAGCATACCAGCCCCATCTCTTGCTGTAATGCCTTTAATGCCTCCCCACACTGTAGGGGACAATGTCCTGGTATAAAAGGTCATTGTTAGTGTGGCATTCAAAACCTATCCAAACCAGGCTCAGTGAATTTTTCCAAGCTCACCTCTCACTGCTCCTTCCATACATCCTCTCCTGCAGCCAAACATCACGACACTCCCCCAGCTGCAAGCTACATTCTTAGCTCCACAATGTTTCCCTGCCATGAACTTCCTCCACCTGAACCTTGACCACTACCATTAGAATAGAGCACAACCCCTTAAGTTGGCTCACCAGCTTGCACTCTGGCCCTTGCTCACCTCCTTAGCCTTAGTCCCCTCTCCCACTCAAACCCATACCCCTGGCATCCTGGACATCTTTCAGTTCTTCAGGTACCCCATATTTTTCCTTTTTCCTCTATATCTTTGAACACATTGCTTTTTTTCTGCCTGGGGCAGCCTTCCTACCTGTCTTTACCAAAGAATTCCAACCCATCCTTCAGATTCCAGCTTAGATCTCACTCTCTCTAGGAAATCTCTCCTGTATAGCCACATTGAATCAGATGCTCCCCTTCATGCTTCCACAGGTCCCCGTACATCCACCCATGAAGCTAATCACACTGTGACACCTGGCCCATGTCTCTCCAAGATCTTCCCAACAGTCCTTGGAAAAACAGACCCATCTCCATCTCAAACCCAGTCCTCTTGAGCTAATAGCCTGGTTACCACATCCAGGGGCCTGGATACACAAAAGACAATCACTTCAGTCCCTCACTCCTAGGTGCAGGTAGTCAGTTTTGGCTGCCTTGGGACTCCATGCTGCTTTCCCACTGGTCCTCCCTGACCCTCACCAGAGACTGACACGACCCAGCCCCACTCACCTGCTGGGCAGCACTGGCCTCCTGGAAAGAGTGGGCGAGTGCTTCTTTCTCTTGTTCATATGAGGCCCGGAGGACTGTAGAGGAAGGAGAACTCCATAAGCTCAGATATTTCTCCCCAAAGCCTTCTGGCAGACCCCTTGATGGCCAGAAAGGTCCAGATGATCACCTGGGGTCCACAGAGGCCAGGAGTCTGGGCATGGTCTTATTCATCCTTCTATCTCCTAGGCTTGCTTGGGGGCTGTGCCAGAAATGTACTAGGTATTTAATAAAAACTCATGGAAATTGAAATAAAGTATATGCTGGGAGGAACCCTATCAGATTAGGTTCCTCACCTCACTAAGGCTAAGATCCAAAGATCTTGCAGCAAGCGTGTTCACCTAAGGCCACCTCAGGCCATGGAAAATGTACAGGACAATGCTTTGTAAACTGGATTAGCCAAATCACAAAATCATTAAATCCTGAGTTGTCAAAGCAAAGCACAAAACTGTGGTAACTACATTAGATGATATGTGGCTAGGAAATCCATCTGGTCCTGGTTCTGCTTCTCCAAAACTAAGAGACCTTGAGAAGATCACATCAAATATCTAAAAGTCCTGTTGCCTCAACTGTGAAACGGGATCAATAAACTGAGTCTGATTGTCTCAAAGGGGTCATCTGAGAATCACATGAGAAGAATGTGCAAGGGCTTTGCAGACAGGGCAGTGCTGTACAGAGATGAAATTATCATCATTCCCCAAATCAATACAGTTGTATGTATCATCCCACCTCCTTCATAAAGTTCCTTTTGGAAAATTCCAACCTTGTCTCAGCTAAAAAAGGACAATAGGGAACTGACAATCAATGGTCAGAATGAGAAATAGAAATGAAGGGAGAGGAAAGTTTAATACAGCCAAAGGGCCAGGTATATGGCAGTGATGAAGGAAATAATGTTCAAGGCTGGGCATGGTGGCTCATGCCTGTTATCCCAGCACTTTAGGAGGCTCAGGTGGGAGGATCATCTGAGGTCAGGAGTTCGAGACCAGCCTGGCCAACGTGGCAAAACTCCGTCTCTACTAAAAATACAAAAATTAGCCAGGTGTGGTGGGGCAAGCCTGTAGTCTCAGCTACTTGGAAGACTGAGACAGGAGAATGGCCTGAGCCTGGGAGGTGGAAGTTGCAGTGAGCCGAGATCATGCCACTGCATTCCAATCTGGGTGACAGACTCTGTCTCCGAAAAGAAAAAGAAAAAAGAAAAAAATAATGTTCAGCAATATAACTGTGGTAGAGTAGTAAAAAAAATTGATAATAATAATCTTATAGAAATTACAGCCTTAACCTTTTTTAAATTATTGGCCTAATTTGTTAATTTGTCTATCAAGACAGGTTCTGGTTTCAGCTAAGATGAAGGAAGCACACTCCATCCAGTTTTTCCCACTAAATATAGCTATGAAATGTGGACAGAATGAATTCTGCAGTTATTTGCAGACTGAAAAGTAAATGGTAGCAGCAGACTGAGCAGGAAGACCAGAATTTGAAGTACCACTGACCCAACAGATTTAAACAAACCCAGAATCTCATGTATTTCAATATTTAAAATGTCCAGGATACAACTCCAAATTTGTCAGCAAACAATACAAAATTACTCAGCATAAAAAGAAGCTGGAACTCCTCCACCCCCCGAGAAAAGATATTCAACAGATGCCTACACTGAGATGCTATAGATGTAGGAATTATTAGCAGAGTTTCTATGGTAACCAGTATAAAAAGACTCCAAGAAGTGTGGGTGTACTGCCACTGACAGAAAGAAGGAAAAAAAATGGAATGAGATAAAAAGAAAGTAAGAGTGAATCCACTCTTAGGAATAATAGAAAAATAGAAAGTCTTAGCAAACGGAGTTATTAAGAAGAACCAAAGGGAAATTTTAGAATGAAAAAGTACAATGAGTGAAACAAAAACTCACTAGGTGGCAGAATGGGATGACATAAGAAAGAGCCAGAGCTTCAAGATAGATTAATAAAAATTATCAAATCTGGACAACAGAGAGGAAAAAAAGATTAGAAAAAAAATAAGTAGAGCTTCAGAGACCTGTAAGATAATGCTCAAATATCTAACATTTCTATCATCACAGTAAAAGAATAAGAGGAAAAAGGGTGCAGTACAAAAAAAAATAATTTTGAAGAAAGAATGATTGAATACTCCACAAACTTGCCAAAACATAAACCTACAGATTAAAGAAGATCACTGACCTCCAAAGTAAGCTCAAAGAAATCCACACCCAGACACGTCATTTCCAAAAGCTAATGACAAAAAAAAAAAAGATGTGGAATGGAACCAGATAAAAATGGTACACTACATATAGGTAATGACAGCTTGAATAACTGTGTGTTTCTCATCAGAAATCTTAGAGACTAGAAGATTAAAATTTAAAAACTGCTGGAAAATACAAAACCAAAACAATAAGCCCAGAATCCCATATCCTGTGAAAATATTCTTCAGGAAGGAAGACTAAATCAAGACTTTCTCAGATGAAGGAAACTTATAATTCATCACCAGCAAATGTGCTCTAAAAGAATTGCTAAAGGAAATTCTTCAAATGAAACCAGAGGGAAACTTGAAACTTCAAGAACGTAGGAAGAGTAAAAGAATGAGTAAAGATCTAGGTAAATATAATAGACTATTCTTCTTAAGTTCTTTAAAATATGATTGATGATTAAATGCAAAAATCATGACCTTGTCTGATGGGGAATTAGATGTATGTAGATGTAATATATGAGATAAATATAACAAAAACGGGGGAGAACAGATGGACCTACATGATGGTAAGCTTTCTACATTTCATTTGATGTGGTAAAATAGCACTTCTCGGCCAGGCGTAATGGCTCACACCTGTAATCCCAGTACTTTGGGAGGCCAAGGTGGGCAGATCACTTGAGGTCTGGCGTTTGAGACCAGACTGGCCAACATGGCAAAACCTGGTCTCTACTAAAAATAAAAAAATTAGGCCTGCTGGCAGGCGCCTGTAATCCCAGCTACTTGGGAGGCTGAGGCAGGAGAATTGCTTGAATCCAGGAGGCGGAGGTTGCA